TCCTATACAAAAATAAATGGTGCTTTAACTCGCAAAATTTGTGCGATATCTTTCAAAATCTTCAAGGCTTACATAACTGTTGCATTAGAATTTTCATTCTCATTGTAAACTTTTTCTAACTGCAAAACACTTGTTTGATGTCAAGGAAGCTCACATAAGCACCAGTGATGAGTTTATTCTTTTAAGGCCTGAAACTATGTTGAGTAATTGGCGGATCACGTCAAGAAAAAATCATATCCAGGGGCATGTCAGCTGAAGACCTTAAGCACGGACATGTTGCTTCTCCCAGTTAATGCTTTTCCCAACTTGTTTGCTCGTTTGGGGCAAAAATTCGAAGACTTTGTTGTGCCAACTACAGTCAATCCGGGGCAATCACATCGAGATTTGATGAATTCCTCTAAGAGTTTGAAGACACCAGAGCATGGTGAATGCCAGGTCTTTTGTAAAATCCTCTTGAGACGATTTCTCCTCATCAATCAGATAGCTTGGGGCATGTTAGAAGTGAAGCTATTCGCAAGAATTGTCGTGCAACATGCAGCTCATCAGCAGTAAACTTGGGGCATCTAAAATTAGTCCCAAGGGCAATCCAGATTTGTCAAGATATGTTTTGCACACATTATCAGAGGGTGGTGTTCCCAGTATCTCCAGCTAAGCAAGACTTCTTTCCAGCTGAAACTTTGTTTGTGTTGTTATCCTTTCAATGGATTGTTTGCAATAAAAGACTGGACTTTGGGTTTTCTACCTGAAAATATCTTCCTCTCCAGAGATATTTAAGCCTTGTAAAAGGACTTTACTCCCATGATGGCTTTTGTTTTTATCTCCAGTAATGTTCCCCTTTTGTTGAGATTAGCTGAGCGTCGGGTTGTACTATGACGTCTTATCATCTTCAGTCTATCTCCCCTGTTTGTTTTGTCAGCACATATATGGCACTCATTTATTCATTCACACTTGCATCATGCACGCACAATTATATTTTTTGATATCATTGAGTTCGTATACCTTGGTTATGTCTATTCAAATAGCGTATTTGATCTTCCCAAATAGAGTGTCAACTTAAGCAGAAAGTGCGCCTCTTTTTGCTAATTCCCTACTGAGTTAACTCTCGTGGAATAATCTTGCTTTAAGCTTTCCTTTTCCATCTCTGGATAGGATAAATCCCCATTTGAGTTGTTTCCTCATTGGGTGGAGTCTTGTTTGACTATTTTCTCTCCAGTTTATTCCTGGATTGAGCTTTGTCTCTTGTGAACGATACCCTGTGGATCTCTCTAGGCTGTGAAATCTAGATGGAGAGTGCATTTATTTTGCAATGCAAATACCTGGTCTCCTCAAGAAGGATTTATTCATGGTTCCCCATTTGAAGATGAACTTTATTCCCCCAGCAGTGTTATCACAACCTTCTTCTGGAATATCGACATGACAACGAGCGACTGACTCTTTATTTGAGCAGTTTGATTATTTCTGATTTCTCTACGACAAATGGCGGTCTCTTCATGAGCAGTTTGTCCATCCCCGATGAAATTATTGGTTCTCACCTCCAACAATATCTTCACGATATTTTATGGGTATCTTTTTGGCAAACAGCAAGCGGCAGTCTCTTCACGAGGCAACTTGTGTGTTATGGATACTCTTGAAAAACATCAAGCGGCAGTCTCTTCATGGACAACTTGTATGTTATCAACACTTTCAAAAAACAGCAAGCGGCAGTCTCTTCATGGACAACTTGTATGTTATCAACATTTTTAAAAACAGCAAGCGGCGGTCTCTTCATGAGCAACTTGTGTGTTATTGGTAATTTTGAAAAGAAACAGCAAGCGGCAGTCTCTTCATGGACAACTTGTATGTTATCAACACTTTTTAAAAAAAACAGCAAGCGGCAGTCTCTTCATGGACAACTTGTATGTTATCAACACTTTTAAAAAAAACAGCAAGCGGCAGTCTCTTCATGGACAACTTGTATGTTATCAACACTTTTTGAAAACGGCAAGTGGCGGTCTCTTCATGAGCAGCTTGTACGGAAAACGGCAAGTGGCAGCTTCTTCATGAGCAGCTTGTACGTTAGTATTTTTGGAAGACAGCAAGTGGCAGCTTATCTATTTGAGCAACTTGTGTGTTATTATTCCCTTGAAAACGGCAAGTGGCAGCTTCTTTATGAGCAGCTTGTGGGTTATTGGCAACAAGTGGCAGACTCTTCATGAGCAGCTTGTGTGCTTTGATATTCTTTGAAGACAGCAAGTGGCAGCTTCTTTATGAGCAGCTTGTGGGTTTTTGGCAACAAGTGGCGGACTCTTCATGAGCAGCTTGTATGTTATTAACACCTTTGAAAGGAAGCAAGTGGCGGCCTCTTTATTTGAGCAGCTTGTGTATCCCCAACAATAATGTCTACTCAGCAAATGGCATCCCTTCGGAAAAGTCCCGTGGGGAAGTTTGTTATTTTATCCTTTTCAAGCGATATCTTGGTTAAAGAAGAAATGTGTTACCTTTCTTGGTAAAATTCAGAAATCAGAGATGTTTATCTCCAGCCACAGTGCTGATGTCAATCATTTTGTTTTCCAGCCACAGGGCTGATGCCAATCATTTTGTTTTCCAGCCACAGTGCTGATGTCAATCATTTTGTTTTCCAGCCACAGGGCTGATGCCAATCATTTTGTTTTCCAGCCACAGGGCTGATGTCAATCATTTTGTTTTCCAGCCACAGTGCTGATGTCGATCATTTTGTTTTCCAGCCACAGTGTTGATGTCAATCATTTTCCAGTCTCAATACTGATGTAAATCATTCCTTTTCCAGTCACAGTGCTGATGTAAATCATTTCTTTTTCCAGTCTTCGTACTGATGTAAATCATCTCTTTTCCAGTCTCAACACTGATGTAAATCATTCAAGAGTCTCTCATTTGAAGTCTATGACTTTGTTTCCCCAGTGGAGTTACAACCTCTTCCTCTGTGGGATTACTGTATAATGTGCTTGGTTTCTCCAGCATAGTCTGTCTCATATGGCGTCATTCCCCATAAAATTCAAAACATCACATTCATATCATATCGTAAACATAATCGCGGTATCTTAAGGCCAAAAATTGTGTATTCTATATTTAAGTCCCTTCAATCTCGTCGAAATGAAGATCCCAATCTTCATATCTCCAGATAGAAGAAACTTAAATAGGGGCAGCTGTTGTACCCCAATTTTTGACTTAAGATCCCATTTTTATTTTTTGCATTTTTTCAAGATAAGTCAAGGTCACGAAATACGGTCGGTTTTAACGTCTCACCTTCGAGCTTTGACTATGCATAAATTGTCAAATATTTTGAACATTCTTAGCCTATGTATCACTAACTTCTAATCAAGCACGAAGTGTGTGTTTTTTGTTTCTTTGATTTCATTTGCAGGAAACAGATCTGAATCAAGAGCATCAGGCGTCATGCCTCGATTAGGGTTCAGAATCTCTCAAGCCAGAAGTACGGTTGATTATGGATTCTTGAAGACTGATTCATCAAGGCACAACTGTTGCACACCAAATTTCGCCCCTAATTTTTTCAGTCGCACATTCATACCATATTTTGTCATTTGGTCACAATCATTAGTAAATATCTTCATTCATCATATTTTGCATCATTAGTCGTATTTAAGTTGATCAGAAAAGTCAATTTAAATCAAAGTTTGCATCGTCTTTCAGTTGTAAAATACCCGACATTTTGCTTCATGCATTTTTATCTATTTACTCATTTGTTGCATTGCTCCAAGTTGTTTATATGTCAATAATAAAAATATTTTGGTTTTATAGACCTACTGTTAAAAGCGATTCGACACTATGCGGGAAATTAGCGAGAAAATATTTCAAGTTTTCACCTTTTACCGATCATTTTATGAATCTGCGCTTCGCGTAGATTATGACGGTATGCTCGCTTTATTTTTCGGTACAGTTCGAAGTCTCGTTTTAACCTTAAACGTCTGTTTAGTCTGATATTTTTATTATTATTTTATTTTTGGTTTTTGACTTCTTGAATATTTTTTCTTTAATCTTTGTGACATGTAGATTATTTTAATGTGTTTATTTTATTTTTCGGATAAATTTTCGTCCGGTTTTTATCGTTTTTGGTCATTTTGTGTCTTTATTTTTTATTCATAAAATATTCAAAAAAATCATTTTAAATTGAGTTTTTTTTATACTTTCAAGTTTTATTTTTATTTTTGTCATTAAAGGGCTTTTTAGTCACAAAAAAAAAATTAAATATACTATGCTTGATTTTCATTGGTTGTTGGATGAAGTTGAGGATTGATACATAAAAACAAAAACCAAAAAATTCACAGTATATGTTTTTCATCCCTCCTATTTTTTCAATCCACACAATCTTTCCCCCCACAATCAAAAAACTCCCGCCTGCATACATCCAACACTCACACTCTCCCTCCTCTCTTCACTCAACACAACATCCTTTATCTTTATCTCATTAACCTTTCTACAACACACAACATACCTAGCATAGTAAAAAGAACCAATCTCAACGACAAAGCCAACATAAAACTCCCTCTAATTTCGAGCCTCTTTCCTCTCTCTCTTTTTCTCGCCCTCTGATTCATAACTTCATTACAACCCTTTGTTAAAATTTGAGTTTGTGGTTCTAAAACAAAGGTACCAAATATCAATATCTCTATCACAATCTACCTCTCTATACCATTCTAGCACTTTGCATACACTCTCCTCATTCTCTACGCATAGCCCATCTCCTCTCTTCAATTCTTCACAGTAACTACCCTTCAATCTACACAAACAGCACCACATAATCATATAAACACAATACACCTTCAATACATGAACCTAGTCCGTTCAAACCCCTCACCTCTGTTTGACTACCCCTTTCCACACTTCCTTCAATATTCCAACCTTCAATAACCCTTTGTTACTTTCATTTTCGTGACCCATCACAACAAACAAAAAAATAATAATAACAAAAAGCAACTCACAGCAAGATCTCCGCCTCTCCTTGCAAATCTTTTCAAGATCCTATTATGCTGCACCATCAAACTCAAAACCACCACCACAATTACCAAGTACTTTTCGTCGGAAACTCCTCACTCGGTTTCGACGGTGGTGGATCAAACAACATGTGGTCTGAGCAGCAGCGGCATCAAGAAGAACATGATAATAGCCGATTGCATAGAATGATGGCTTGGAATGCTAATGCTAATATTAATGTTAATGTTGCAGATGGTGGTAACAGTGGCCATGGTGCTGGATTCGTGTTCAGCACCCCCGCGCCATCTTTCGGCGGTTTTGGCCAACCCATCGCGTTCTTCCGTCTTTGTACCAACTCAGCAACAGCTCCATCTATCTCCACGGGTCTTTCTCTCTAGCTGACAAAACAGATGTAAACATACAACCATGGGTCTTACCTTGTACCACCATGAAGTCCGATGCACACTTCATTATCATCTTTAAGATCTGAACCGTAACTTGCCGTACCGAACATCACCGTCCGAAGCTTCCTAACCACCGCGTCGTAGCAGCTCTGCTCTCCATCTGCAAGCCAACATAACCACCGTGGTGCTCTAGCCTCCGCGTGCCTCACCAAACTTCTGTGGTAGGTAAACATTATTTTGTTATTCTTTAAATTTTTGATGTTTGATTCTGAGAGTAGAGGGTGGATCGAGAAAGAAAGAGAGAGAAAGAGTATTGAAAAGAAGAGTGGTGGGTTATTCTAAACTTTGAGAAACAAGGGGCTTATGAGATAGAATTGGATATGTATTGTTAGTTTCTACTTTTTTTTCTTCTTTCGTTAAATTATTATTAGTTTCTATTGTTATTTAATAATCTTATGCCATATGATATATGCTTATTATTATAAGTTGGGACTTGGAAGAGTCAAACATAACAAATTTACTGAAAAGAAACTATCCATGATGCAGTGCCCCTTTTAACCTTGTTTTTTCTAATTTATATTTTTTTACTTTAATAATGCAGTTTTTTTTCATGTGTAAATTAGATTAAGGTTTATTTGATTTAGGGTCTCTTGAACATAGTATTCTAACTTGACACCTCTTCATGCCAATTAGCACTCCATACTTTAGTTAGATTAGATTTTACAGTTTATTCATTTTTTATTTGGTTTTTAGTTAATCTAACTAAATTATTTTAGTTATCAGGTTGTTTAATTCTCGCTTAAAAAAAATATCGAACAATAAAATATAAAAAATACATGCGTTTATAAATTAACTTTTTATTTAATTTTTGTTACTTATTTAATTATTCCAAAATACATGTCAGTGTAAATTATTCTTCTATTTAATTTTTGTTATTTAATTGTTTAATTGTCATTTTAATTAATTCTATTCTCGATCATTTAATCTTCGTATCTTTCGCCCGTCTAATCCAAGGGAAATGTTTTAACTTTGTTGACTTCATGTTATCAAACACATCTCATCCAATCGTGCGAATACCCTCATTCATCTTTTGTTTGTTTACTATTTTGTTAAACCTAAGATAATTTTCCCAAAAGACTCCATTTTTAAAAGTCACCCCCTTTTAAGTCAAAACTTCGACACTAGGTCGTCGTATCTTCAAAAATCTCGTCCATACCCATCTTTTAGCCAAACGAATCATTTTAATCAAACAAACAATTTTAAACCAAAAAAACAGATATTTCAAAAGGTTCCTGCGGAGTACCGCAGATGCATTGGGTGCTAATACCTTCCCATTGTATAACCAACCCCCGAACTTTCGATCTCTTTTAAAAACGCATTGTATTTTCATTACTTTTAAATATTACTTTACATTGCATATTTTAGGGTTTTATTTCTCTCTTTTCCCTTTTCCCTTGGAAATAATAAAGCACGGTGGCGACTCTTGCTTTTGCGAGTCAGGTTAATTAATAGCTTGATCTCCGATTTTCACCGCTACACACTTCCCCATGCACTATCCTTTTTGAGCCGTCGAAGGCTCTCACCACTATGTTGCTAGGTTTCAAGGTAAATCCTTCACAGTCAAGCCTATCAAGAGCCTTTTTAGGCAACACGTTCAGAGACGAACTGGTATCCACCAAGAAATGAGCCTAAGTCGTTCACCTGCATTCAACTATGACATGAAATGCCTCTTTATGCTTCCTTCCCCTTGGCATTAAATCAGCGTCCGAAAAATCTAAACCATTATCTGCGGTCAAGCTGGCTACGCAGTCTTGGAACTGATCGGCCGATGTTTCTTGGGGTACATGGGAAGTTTTAAGGAATTTTTCCAAGGACTTTGCATGAGCCTCAGAACATAACAATAAAGCCAACATGGAAATTTTTGATGGAATTTACCCCAGCTGTTCGACTACATTGTAGTCTCTTCATTTTATAATCTTTAGAATTTCCTCCATCTCTTTTCGGGAAATCTCAGGGATAACTACTGATTGTGCCTTCGTCTGGACAGGCTCAACCAGAATACCTTTGGCTCGAGTCTCGGTTGACTCAGCAGTGGGAATGTCAGTAGGGGTGATAACGGGGACCGCAAAAGTTTTGTCAACAGGAGTATTAGCAGAGATGATTGCAGGACTGGGAATAGCCTTTGGAGGAGAAACAACAAAAGGAATGATTACAGGTCCAGAAATAGCTTTTGGAGGAGCAATTTTTGGAGAGAATACCTTCCACTTCGGGTTATCTTACTAGTCCCTACGATATTACTTTTATCAGAGTCAACTTTCTCAGAACTTGAATCTTCAGCAGTTGGCCAATCTTGCTTGATACCGTGATAGTAGACATCACCTCCATAATTCCATTGGACGGTTTTGTCTGACGAATATGGGATTGGTCCAGTAATTGTAATTATCAACGGAGCTACTTTAGGAACTGGTGTAATTCTAACGGGTCTTTTGGTGGAGACCCTGGAGGAATTTTCGGAAATGGTCACTATGGAAACATCCTTATAAGAAACAGTTGGAGTAAAGGTCTTCTCGAACAAAATCTCTTTGTCATCTATTAGGCAATTAACGCCTGCTTTTAACAAATGACAGTTGGTTGGTGAGGATAAAAAGAAATGACAGCTTTCATCACATCCTGGGAATACACCGACATTCAACAAGTTCTTTTTGATGGTCAGGAGTGGGGTCAAAAGTTCATCAACCCAAGTAACAAACATATCTTCCTCAACGGAGTTGACATCACGGTCGTGCTTGGGCATATGGGCAGTGATAACATTGGGAATTTTTGGCGCGTAGAATTCAATCTTTTTGGCTTTAAGGAGGTCTTGTACCTTATTTTTCAGAGCCCAACAGTTGTTAGTGTCATGGTTGGGGCTCTCAGAATGGTATGCACAGCGGGCATTAGGAGTATAATAAGGAGAGGTTGTGTTAGGATTCTTTGGAGCTTCTTTCAAAGTCACTAGATTGGATCTTAACAAATGTGGAAATACTTGGGATAGTGTCATATTAATTCGGGTGAACTGTCTGACTGGTCTTTCCGTTCTTGGCTGGTTTCTTCTTTGTTGAGTAGGCACAGGTTTAGGAATCATGACAACCCCCACCATTGGGAGACGTTCAGACATATCTTGATTTCTCGGAGGATATACAACAACAACTTCTTTTTTTCCAAAGAATGGTTTTCTTACAGCAACAGAGGATGCATCTTTTTGAATCTTCCCATTCTTTATCCTGGCTTTCACCGTTTCTCTGGTCAATCTCAATTCGGTAAAACCTTCCGAGGAACTCCCAATTAAGTGATTAAAGAAAGGACCGGACAATGTACACAAAAACATATCTACTAACTCTCTTTCAGATAGGGGAGGTTGGAATCTTCCTGCTAAGTCCCTCCATTTTTTCACGTAGTCTTTGAAGCCTTCTCTTAAAACCATGGCCATACTCTGGAGTTGAGTACGGGTGGGAGCAAGATCAACATTGTATTGGTATTGTTTGTAGAAGGCAGCGGCCAGATCTTCCCAATTATGAACATTGGCTCTTTCTAACTGATAAAACCAATCAAGTTGAGTTCCGGACAGACTGTCTTGAAAAAAGTGTACCCATAAATCATTATCAGCGGTGTGAGGCTGTGTTTTCCTCACATAGGACCAGAGATGCATTTTTGGACATGAAACTCCGTCATATTTGGCGAACACCGGTGCTTTGAATTTTGGAGGAATGACAATCCCAGATACTAACCCCAGCTCCTCAAAGTCTAGTCCAGGCCTTTTTTGGATTTCCATTGCACTTAATCATTCTTCCAGATGCTTATACTTGTCGTTGGCTGGAGGATATTGTTCATCAGAATAATCGTCTTCTTCCTCTTTCTCTTTTGAATTTGGCTAGACAACTGCTTCCTTGCCTTTCCCATCTTGATTGTCTTTCTCACCAGATGACGTTGCAAAGTATAGGGTCCTTCTTGCTTGCCCTTGTAATCTTCTTCCCATATTTAGAACTCCGGTTATTCTCTTTGTTTTCTTCTTTTTGTCTTCAACTAGCAAGGTCTTCAACTCTTCTTGTCCTTTGGCTAGAGTTAAGAACATCTGTTGAAATTGAGCATTTTGTGCTTGGAGGTCTTTCACTGTTTTATCGAGATCCATCTTACTGAAATAAATAGTAGAAAGGTGAGGAGAATTGTTGCAAGAAACCTACTTATGTTATGATGAATGGTATATGCATATGCAATGATTTCAAGGATTTTAAAGATTCAAATTTGTTTTAGACAAAAAGGAAATACATGTTATATTAATAAATTAAAGCTTTCAGAACATCAATGCTTTTTTGGGCAAAACAATACAAAAACTCTAAGATAAAAAGGTTGTATGCATCCTCTTTGGTGCGATGTAGGCATTCAGAGTCTGCTCCTCATGAAGTTGCTTAGTGAGTTCCAAAACCTTCTTCTCGCTAGCGTAGAATTGGGCCTCGAAAGTATCTCGCTCCCCCTTGAGTTGTATCCAATCTCTTTGTAAGTCTTCAAGAGATGTGGGCATGTCAGGATGCAGGATAATGTATGGAACATCTCCTTCAATAACAGGCTCAATGATTACCGGGAGAATGGAGGGATAAGGCATCATAAGACTTTGAGCACAAGTTCGTACCCATTTGAGGTAAGGCTCAAGAGGGATGGAATTCTTATGCCCCAATGTCTTTCTATCTACCTTGTTCAACATCCTCCAAGCTCGGATAAATCTCTTGCGATGACCTTGATCTTCATTTTCGTAGTCAAATACCAAACCTTGGATGAGCATCTCATGTGGGCCATCCCTTCGGGCGTAACCAAACTGTCTCAACGCTAAGAAGGGTTTGTAGGTGATACCTCCTCTAATGCCAAGTAAAGGGACATTAGGGAATTCTCCATAACGGTCGACAATAGTAATGTTCTCTATAGATCAGGAACACCAATGAATGTTTGAATGTTTGAGCGGC